TTGGGATTTCTGTTGGAAACCCATCCAACAGGACTTGCCCATGTCAGGGGGAGGGGAAGGAAGGAAGCAAGGAGTTTTGGGCTTTTGGCTTAAACAGTTGGGTGGACTGTGGCGTCAGTTACTGAAATGGAAGGTCAAGGGGGGAGAAGTTTTCTGAGGGTGGGGGGAGAGAGGGTAAAACCATGGTAATTCTTGAAATTCCTGAGAAAGAAAGAGAGAAACTGTCAGAACATTGAGGAAATCTTGACTTTTAAGTGGAGGGCCATGGAGGAAAAGAAGGTAAAACATTTGGGGAAATTATAAATTTTTTTAAGGAGGCAAAGGAGGGTAAAACAGGAATTCCTAGAGATTTGTGGATTTCTGAGGTGGGACAGAAGTCAGACTGCAGCCTGGCAATGAATTCCCCGAGGGTAGGGGTGGCTGCACATTTTGCTCCTATCTGCATCTCCTATTTCTTTCATAGTGTCTGGCTAATAGAAGCTGCACAAGTATTTGCTAAGTGAATACGTTAATGAGAAGCTGGTAAAAAGTGTTGGAATTTAGCATACTTAGAACATACTCAGTAAATGTGGCAATGAAGGAGTGGGGGAAAGGACGATAACTGGAGGGCAGTTAGGTATTTTTGCTTTTCATTTTTATTTTAAATTTGATGAACATGTGTCTGCACCTAGATAATTTGTAGAGAGCAGAGATGAAAGATGCTGGCGCAGAAAGGGACAGGTGAAATATGAGTACCAGTGGTGTGCTGGTAAATGTTTAATACCTGGCTTCCAAAGCAAGGAATCCTGACCTTCGGTCTGTGCCAATTTCCACGTCAGTAACTCCTACCATGGCTTATTTCAAGCTGCAAATGTGACCTCACCGAAGGCGGAGTGGGGGGAGAAGCGCTGGAGCCGACCATGGTGCAGTAGTTCCACTGCCTAACGGACAATAGACATAAATAACCTCAAGAGCATAGCTACCAGTAAAATAATTAGGAAGTGGTGAGTTTTCAGTGCTTATCACCTTTGTTTTTAATAAGATTAATTTTAAGTTAATATAATTTAATATTCAGTAATGGTGGTGTTTAATAACTGACTTGCAAAAGACCTAAAAATTTAATAGTCCTGTCTTGCATGCTGCTGTGAGTCAGCTGCCACACACTGGAGAAGGTCCTTGACCCGAAGGAAGAAAATTTTATGTTATTGATCTATGTAGCAGGATGAGGGCTAGCAGTTCCCATACATTATCCCATGCAACCATCACAGTAACCATTTAAGGTAGATGTAATAGTTCTCATTAACAGGAGGAAATGGAAGATCTTAGAGGTTAAAACACCTTGTCCACATTTGCATACTAAGTGGGGAGGTCAGGATTGGAACTCAAGCTGTGTGACACCCTAAACCTGTGCTTTGCCCACTTGCTGGGCTCTAAAGTCCTTAGTCCTAGGCGAGCGCTTAGCCTTGGGGATGAGGCAGGAGGACATGGTGTCATCCTCTGTGGAGCTGGCTTCCCTGTTGAACTCTCCGGGGTAGACAGATTCTTGTAGCCGTCCTTGGGTTCACAAACGAGGTACCTCTCAACTTGTTTTGATATATGGTACTGGTGCTAATATACATAATTAGATGGCATGCTTTTGTAGGTTCTGTTTTGTTTTTTAACCCTGAGCACCAGGCTGTTTTAGAGAGGATGATGCCTGGAGACCAATACACCGCATAGCTGGACCTGGGTCAGAGTCTCATCAGGTTAACCCGTTTGTGGGCAGGAAGGACCATTATCCCTCCCTGGGAGGGAAAACTGGTACATTTCCCTTTTTGCAAAGGAAACATGTCATATATTGTAGTATACATTTAATTAGTATTAAAATCAGTTATGAAAGCTGTGCTTGTCCTTTTGTCAGAAGGTGATCAGGTAAAACAAGTAAAAGTGCAAAGAGGCAATGTTATCTTAATTCTTAAGATCTCTGCAGACAGGGGCGAAATCATCGCTCCTTCACTTACTTGATCCTGGACAAATTGTTCTGTCTCTGTGGGCCTCAGTTTTCTCACCTCCCAAAGGGGAGGTAATAGCAGTACCTCACTCTCATTCTACCTGTCAGGACTGCAAGCTGTAGCACATGTAATAAGCTTGTGAACAGGTGCCTGCACAGAGCGGCCAGTCAGTGTGTGGCAGCCAGCAGCATCATTATTAGTAGTTTAGTGTTATGACTGTGTGGCTTTCTGAACACCAGGATGCATCCTGAAAATGGTAAATCTGCAGTATGCAAGCAGGGAGTGAGTTTCTTACTGAACTTCAAGGCTGTTTGCTAGTATGTATTTGCATTGCATGCATGGCATTAGACTGACTAAAAGTTGGCTAAATACCATCAGGTAAAATGTTTTCAGAAGTTACTGTATACAGGAAAAAAATCCCAACCCAGGGACAAATCCTACTGCAAGTCATTTAGTTGCCTTTTTTCTCTGTGTGACTTAGTGATTTGGCATATAGGTAGAAAGTGCAATGAAAAACCTAGGGCTTAGGGTATATGCTCTGGACTTCGATGGTGTTTCAGTTGATACTACCTTGTACTCAGTTACTCCATGTGAGAAGAAGAATGTTTAGTATATAGCATTCCTTCTCCCTACCCTCTTCACTACATCAAATTCATTCACACCTAGACACTTGCCCTTTTACAGTAGAAAGCTCAGTGAGTTCTGCATGAAATCTTATCTTCAGAACTCATATAGATGGGTATGCCTGTGTACCTATAGAGTCATTTCATATATACTTGATAGATTTAATATTTAGATAACAGTGATAACACTAGGCATTGAAGACACTTCTTGTCTAGTGTGTTGCTCATTTCCTCCATTTACTGCTACCTTGTAGGGTCCATCATGAATCATTCATTTGACAATATTTAGTGAGCACCTACTATGTTCCAGACATCATTTTGAGCAGTAAAGTAAACAAAGTCCTGTCTTCATGGAATTTAGCTAGGTGATGATCATGGCCTTTTTACTTAAAATAGACTCATTTTTGTGGGTGAGACAGTGGTTAGATTTTTCACTTTAGTGGGTCTTAAACATTTTTTGTATAAGTGCCTTGTACACAGGCATGCAAATCAAGAGACTAAGACAGGTTTAGGGCTAGAGAACAATTTGGCACGAAAGTGAACGTGTGAGGTAATTAGACTTAAGGGAGGCATTTAAATATTTTGACCTTCGCTGATGGAATGGGTAACAGATCTCTTAAGCGTCATTTTAATGCTTTATTTCTGTAGACCATGAGTTCCACTCCTTTCCCCCAAAGTAAGCAGTGCTGTGTGGATTAAACTCCTGGGATGGGGTTTTGAACCATTATTGCACACGTAGTATCCTCTGAGTAGGGCAAATGTGTTTCAGATCATTGTTAATATCCTCATATCAGCTTTGAGAGAAACTTGGTGAGCTAGAGAAGTGAGATTTGTAGGTGACAGAAAAAAATCTGTGTTGAAAGCCCGTATTGCAGATGAATAGCTAGTTTCCCTTGCACCTCCCCTCCCGCCACCATTTCACACACCTTTTCCACTGACCGATCACACATGTGCCATTTGCAGCCTCACCTGGCTGCTGCTTTCAAGAGGT